CCTGGTCTACATAGTGAGTTCCAGGGCAGCCAAAGCTATACAGAGAAACACTGTCTCAAAAAGCCAAAAATAGGTCTGGCAGTGGTGGCGCACGCCTTTAATCCCAGCATTCAGGAGGCAAAGGCAGGCAGATCTCTGTGAGTTTGAGGCCGGCCTGGTCTACAAGAGCTAGTTCCAGAACAGGCTCCAAACCTACAGAGAAAACCCTGTCTTAAAAAAACAAAAAAACAAAACAAAACAAAAAAAAGATGGCTTAATTGTTAAGAACACTCCTTCTTACAGAGGACCCAGGTTTGATTCCTACATGGTGGCTCACAACTGTCTAAACTGCAGTTCTCTGAACTCTTTGGGCACCAGGCAGGCTCATGGTACACAGACAGACAGACAGACATGCAGGCCAAACACTCACTAAATTAACAAGCCTCCAGTATAGGGCCTGCCATAGTGATTGTGTTAGTTAGGTTTCTGTTGCTATAATAAAGACCGTGACCAAAAGCAACTTGGGGAGGCAAGGGTTTACTGTCATATTTGTAGACCATCATCAAGGCAGGAGCCTGGAGGCAGAAACTGAAGCAAAGCCATGAAAGAATGCTGGTTTTGGCTGGAGAGGTGGCTCAGCAGTTAAGAGCACTGACTGTTCTTCCAGAGGACCCGAGTTCAATTCCCAGCACCCACATGGTGACTCAACACTGTACTGTATATATAATAAATAAGTAAATTAAAAAAAAAGAATGCTGTTTTCTGACTTGCTCAGATTGCTTTCTTACACTCCCTAGGGTTACCCTTCTAGGGGTGGCATTGCCCACAGTGGGCTGTTTCCTTCCATCAGTCAAGAAAAGGCCCCACTCACTTGCCTACAGGCCAAGCTGATGAAGGCATTTCTCAGTTGAGATTTCTTTTTTTTGGGGGGGGGGTGGCGTGGGGACAGGGTTTCTCTGTAGCTTTGGAGCCTGTCCTGGAACTCACTTGGTAGATCAGGCTGGCCTCGAAATCATGGAGAGTCACCAGTTTCTGCCTCCTGAGTGCTGGGATTAAAGGCATGTGCCACCACCACCCGGTGAGGTTTTTTTTCCCTCCTTTTTAAAGATTTATTTATTTCGTATAGTGTTCTGCCTGCATGTCTGCCTGTAGGCCAGAGGAGAGCACCAGGTCTCATTACAGATGGTTGTGAGCCACCATGTGGTTGCTGGGAATTGAACTCGGGATCTTTAGAAGAGCAGCCAGTGCTCTTACCCTCTGAGCCATCTCTCCAACCCCCTCAGTGGAGTTTCTACTTCTCAAATGACTCCGCCTTGTCAAGTCAACAAAAAACTAGCCAGTGTAACTAACCCATGTCAGCCTCACACACAAATACACCACAAACCATGACATTCCTTCTCTTATCTCCAAGAACTCAAGATAATTTTTTCTTTGGTTTTTGTTTTTCGAGACGGGGATTTTCTGTGTAGCTTTGGATCCTGTCCTGAACTTGCTTTGTAGACCAGGCTAGCCTCGAACTCACAAAGATTTGCCAGCCTGATCTACAGAGCAAGTTCCAGGAGAGCCAGGGCTATATAGAGAATCTCTATCTGGAAAAAAAAAATTACCCCCCCCCAAAAAAAAGGGAGGAGGGAGGGAGGAAGGAAGAAAGGAAGGAAAGAGAGAGAGAGGAAGAAAGAAAGGAAGAAAGAAAAAAACCCGGTACCACCTGGGAGACTTTAAGCTCAGCTGTAAGCACTAAGTACAGCCTTGGGCTCCTCTGAACCACAGTTCAAGTGTGCTGACCCCAAGGAAACTTTCCTTCCCTGAAGATTTCACCTCAGTGATGCTGGTTCCTTCCTAATCACAGATGCTTTCTCAGCTGGGCCAGACCAGCATCCAGTAAAGCAAAGGTTTCACTGAGTTGGTTCTGGACTTTTGTTAAACATGATTGATTCTTCAGCCCCAGCTGACCAGAAACCAAGGTTATTAGTTCAAACAAGCACGTGAACAACCAATAAGAGGGTCTCCCAAGCCTCAGAAACATGGCAGTCTGATGGAGGACTTTTCTGGTTTTTTGAGAGAGAGTGGGGGGAGCCTGAGTGTGGAACACAGCAGCCAGGCTAGCCATGGGCTGAAGTGGGCAGGGACAGGCTCTTTGCTGGCTAAGCTAGAGCCCCGAGGCCTCTTCCAGTCTGGATCCCTAACCTGCCAAGACCTGCCTTTCCTGTTTCCTCTCTGGACCTTTCCAAGATGACAAATTCCTGTCCCAAGCAAATGGGAGGGCAGAGATGGGCCAGCCAGAGGACAAGTGTTAGGAGAGAAGAGGAGGCCTGGCCCACTAGGCAGAATCTGCAGGTGGATGGGCAGGATGCAGGCTAGATGGGCAGGCGAGAGAGTCCAGCCATAGAGGAGAAACAAGCGACCAGAGAGAGCACTATGGCTGGCAGAAGCAGGCAGCCGGCCACTGTAGACTGCCATCTCAGCCAAAGGCTTTACCTACCTTCTCCATAACTTTTTTTGAGACAGGGTTTCTCTGTAGCTTTGGAGCCTGTCCCGGGACTAGCTCTTGTAGACCAGGCTGGCCTCAAACTCACGGAGATCTGCCTGCTTCTGCTTCCCGGGTGCTGGGATTAAAGGTTTGCACCACCACCGCCCAGCTCTTCTCCAGAACTTTTAATAGCTCTCTACTTGTCAGAGTCATCGGGGCCACGGTGTCACTTTCCATGCTTAACAAGGAGCTGGCTGTAGATGGTAGCATTCCAATAGTGTACGTCCCTCTGCGGGTCCAGCATCCACCTCAACACTCGCTTTGTTTCTGCAACGCCTCTATTTTCCCGAGGCTGAGTCACGTCTCACCCAGAATGGACACACATTTGCCTCCAGGCAGAGACAGATCTGCTAGGCAATGCAGACCGTTGTGCAGTTTCATGGAAAGCTGTCTCAAACTTCACACCACGTTCATACTGACCCCCACAGGGAATAGATGTGTGTCACACAAAGGGACAGACTCCTCCATACACAGAGGTGGACAAGCTAGGCTGCAGCACACGCTAACATTTATGTAGTCAGTAGACCATGTTCTTCAACACTGTTGGGACCATTAGGAGTCCTGGCCTCCAGCTGCCCTTCCCTGCTGGCGATCTTCACTTTCCTTCTGATTTGAGTTACTGAAAGCTGTGTCAAAGTTGTTTACCAGCTCTGCTTCATAAGCACGTGTTGCCTTGGCCTTGAGGATCAGAGGATAAGGTTTTCACCTGTTGACCCACTTGACTGTTGAGTATATAAGCCTCCATGGTGCTATTGAATAGAAGGCTTCTTACCAGTGATTAGAGGTCCGTGTCTCTGTCTCTCTGTATGCTTCAACCTCCAGCCCCTTGCCCGAAGCTCGCGAACTATATGGTAGCGCATAGAGCGCAGACAGGTGTTGTGCGCTGCAAACACATTTCCAACACTAGTTCTTCTGTATGTGTCCAACTAGCCAGTCACACATGCCTTGGAGAAGCAGGGATGCGCCGTGGTTGTCCACGGGCATCACTGATGGTACTGAAATGTTGCCCCAGGCTGGTATTGATTCCGGTCCTAACTACCTCTCAGTCCTATATAACCCAAAGGGTCACACAGCCTTGCTGGTTTGCTGTTGAGGACTCCTCCACCCGAAGATCCCTCAATGTTCAGGGCTCAGGCTTTAGACTCCCTCCTCCTTGTTCTCTTGAACTGGGTGACCCACCTGTCCTCAGGATGCTAAACAAACCCATCTGGTCTCTCCTTGCTGGAAAAAATAAAACCGTGCTGCTCCCAAGACTTTCCTCAGTTGCACAGCCCAAGATCAAGGCGAAATTCCTCTTCCCTCCAAACCCCCTCCACACAGGAACTTCCTTCAGAACACCACCCACCTCCCCCCCACCCCTCCTGTTAATCTGGGTTAAACCCAGACCACTGCTTCCCTGAATACATGCCAGCCTGTTTCTTGCTCTGCCTCCATCCTTGCCCTGCTGTGCCCAAGGCTGTGCACGGTCTTGCACCCATCATTCCTCTATGCCCTTGCACCGTGGATCCCAGCTCTCTGCAAACCAGGAACTCCACCCCTGCTCTTATTCCTTATACCTACCTAGACACTGTCCCCCAGATCTTGGCATGGTTGCCCTCTCCTCAGGACTCAGGTCTTTCCTGGGGTGTTCCCCATCACAATGGGTTCCATCTCCTCCTCAGCCCCTCACAGTCTCTAAGAGTGCCTGCCTCCTAAGGACTTTTTTTTAAAAAATAACCTCTTTATTCTGAATCTCCATTTTTAGGAGGCGCCAGGCATCTCCTAAACGGGGTGGAGTGGGGTGGGTGTGTTCTCATCCCACACTGAAATGCTGAAGCAGCATTATATGCAAATAGGTAAGTACACCTGGGCCAAGAGACCTCTGCTCACAAAGCAGACTAAACAGTCACAAATACACCCAGGTGTGAGTCAGCCCACTTCTTTTTCCATCTCCTCTTGCCCCCTACTTGAACCCAGGCTGGCCTGGGGGAATGTGGGGGGGGGTGGTCCTGCAGCTTGGACAGGGAGGGGGTTAATGGCCCTCAGGCCTCAGGCAGCGCCTACAGCTATGCCTGCAATTTCCTCTCCCCATTCTTCCCCTCCTCCTTCCAAGATTCCCGCCAAGAAGGCCTCCCCCTCACCCCAGCCCCAGCATAGGGAGGGAAAAAGGGGGGTAGCCAGACGACAAGGCAGAAAGAGCCCGGCTGCAAATCCCCCAGCACACTTCTGTGCAAGCCTTGAGCCCAGGTGGAAGCACACGTGTGAGTCCAGCCGGCAAGGCAGTGAGGACGTTCCCTGCGCTTGTGGAGGCAGGGGCCCCGCTGGGGTCTGCAGTGTGCCGGGGCCTGGCTCACCGACGAGTCCTACAATCATTGACCTTGGGTGACCACGGCAGCTGGACACACTCAGCCAGGCCACTGGGAGGAGGGGCTGAGAGGTCCTCTCTCCCCGGAGGACCAATGAGGACGTGGAGGTCATGGCTTATTCCGCCGGGTCTACCAAAGGACTGGAGGGGTTGATCGGGACCCGCCCCCATCACAGGAGGAGCCAGGCACAGCGAAGTAGTTTGAAGCCTGCGCCCTATAGTCAGAGAGTTTTGGGTTCAAGTCCTGACCATGTGGCAAAGATCTTCAAGATCTTTATGACTCAGTTTACATCATCTGCAAATTGAAGATTTAATGATAGCCACATTCTAGGGTTGGTAGGCTTACAAGAAGGAATGTCTATGGGGGGTGGGTACCTCCGGCGCCCAGGCCTTAGGGATGTTTAGTTAATGATGTTGTTGTTAGTACAGGCTGGGGCGGCCCCTGTGAGCGGCCTCCCCAGCGGCTTCCTGTAGGGGAGCAGGGGCCGCCCCCTCTCCCCTTCCTCCAGGCGCTCTTCCTCCCGCCTCTCCGCCCCGCCCCGTCCCTCCTCTTTCCTCAGAGGAAACTTTCCGCCGGCTGGTCCATCGGGGTGTCCGGCCGCGCCACGGTGAGAACCGAATAAGGCGGACGGGGCGGCCCGGCCCGGGTGTATGCAGTCCCCGGAGAGACGCAACTGCCGGGGGCAGGCAGCGGGACGCTGACGGGTGAGTGAGCTGGGCCGAGGCCCGGGCGGAGGGGTGCAGGAGGGAGGCGGCAGGGGAGCCCGAGGCACCGCCTCGTCCTTCAGTGCGTTGGGCCTCGCCTGGGGACCCCACGAAGGGGCGGAGCGTGTGCGGCTTCTCCGATGCTCCCCGGGATGAAGGGGCGTCTGCCGGGAAGCAAGGACTCTCTAGCAGAGCCCAGATCTGTGACCAAATGAGGGGAACTGCTCTCCTCCAGGGTGGAGGAGTTGCCCCAGGAGTGAGCGCCCTGGGCCCTGGAGGACCTGACCTGGCTGACCTCGCAGGCTTAAAGGCGAGCTGCGCCCCAGCAGCATGGATGCCCCAAGGAGGGATATGGAGCTACTCAGCAACAGCCTGGCGGCCTATGCACACATCCGAGGTGAGGGCCGGGCCTGGGAGAACGGAGCCGGTTTCAGAACCCAGGCAGCCCTCCACTCCCAGCTGCTCAGTCCTACCCCCAGATACCTGTCCCCTGCTGCCCTTCTCTTCTGTGCCCCAAACTTAGGCCCTGGATCTCTCCCAGATGGGCCGACTCCAGCCTGCCAGGCCCCCCTATGACCTCCGCTCCCTGCTCTCTAGCTAACCCCGAGAGCTTCGGTCTCTACTTCGTGCTGGGCGTCTGCTTCGGCCTGCTGCTGACCCTGTGCCTGCTAGTCATCAGCATATCCTGCGCGCCTCGCTCGCGGCCCCGTACCCCTGCTCCGCGCCGGGACCCTCGCAGCAGCACCCTAGAGCCCGAAGATGAGGACGACGAGGATGAAGACACCATGACGAGGCTAGGCCCGGATGACACACTCCCGGGCCAGGAGCTGTCCACTGATCCCGACGGGCCCCTTAATGTCAATGTCTTCACGTCCGCAGAAGAGCTGGAGCGGGCACAGCGGCTGGAGGAGCGGGAGCGAATCCTGCGGGAGATCTGGCGCACTGGGCAGCCAGACCTGCTGGGCACCGGCACACTCGGGCCCGGAGCCACGGCCACAGGCACACTGGGCCGTATGCACTATTACTGACACACGACCCACAGCATGGGTCCCTGAATACTGGACATGGGACTGGACCCAGTGCTGCCCCAGGGCTTTCAAACTGCCTCTGCTCCAATTCTCCTGGTGCTATTGGGCGTGGATCGCCGCCTGCTAAGCGCTGTTTACTGGGCAGGTGTGGGTGGGGGAAAAATGTCAGGTCCCACCTTCTCCTCCTGGTAATAATGAATGACCAATGAAAGCTAGTCTCAGCGACTCGGTCTCCTTTAGTTGCCGCTGCTTTCAGCAGTCACCCCTTGCTCCGGTTTTGCAGGGGAGTCCCAGGGATGTGGATGTCACTGCTTTTGCTGGTCACACCCCCTTTGGGGGTCCTTCCAATGCATGCTTGTACTCACTTTACAGACCAAAGAATCAGACCGAGACATGCCTGTCGTACTTGCACACGGGTCAGGTATTACAGGCATTCCTTACTAGCCAATGCTTGGACAAATGTCACCTAGTCCCCTGCCCTATGACCTGCCTGGGATGTCACTGCAATCACCCAGGGATGCCTAAGGCTCAGACCTGGATGTGAATTCTATTAGACCTAGTGCCTGAGCAAAGCCAGAAGTTCGCTTCTGGGCCGAGAATCATTCCAAGTGAGTGGACACAGAGGTCCCTTCGGGCAGAGGCCAACTGGGAGGAGCTGGGCCCAGAGAAGGCCGGCTCCACCCTCTAGCGCATAGCTGGGTTCCTGAATCCAGGAGGGTCTAGGCCCCTCCAGCCTGCATCCAGCGCAGGGCTGGCCTCCGAAGGAGACTACACCCCCACCCCGCCCCCAACCATCCGGTGGATAAAAATAGCCTTGCACAGGACTTGAGAATGGTAATGGGAGCCACATGTTGGCCAGATGTGCCCGAGAGAGCGCGTCAGGAATGCGGAGGGTGGTGTGCTGGCTAGCCCCGCCCCACACGGACCAGGCTAGTCTAAGAGTTCAGTTTTTACTTCCTTGAAGTTTCTCAAAGTTGTATGCAAGGGCTGGGGTGGCCCAAGCAGGATGGACGTCCCTCCAGGTCGGGCTGAGGTTCCGCCTGAGCCCTCACCTATTCCGCCGCCTGTGTTTCCGTCTGTGTCTGTGCCTGTTTGAAGGACTTCTTGGTCCTCTGCATCGTCCGAACCTAGTCGGGAGAAGGCATCAGGGACCAGACCCAACAACAGCTACTGCCCTTCCCCTCCTGGGTCTGCATTTCACCCACCTCCAGTGACTCGATCTTCTCATTCGCGGTCTTCAGCTCCTCCCAGACATCATTCATCTTCTGTCTGTGGATACCGGGTTCAGGTGAGACACTGGACCCCTCCCTTTGTCTCCCGCCCCACCCATCTGCATTACCGCCCACTTACTCCAGTTTCAACTCCAGAAGCTCCAGCGCGTTCTTTAGTGACCCCACCTCTTCCTTTAACGATGCTACGTCCATAGCATCTGCGCAGCCTCTGTCACTCTTGCCTTCAGAAGAGGTTAGTGGGACCACGGGATGAAGTGTGGGAGCTCCTTCAGGGTCTGGAATCTGTTTGATAGTATGTGGTACTTGGGGAGTGGGGACTGACTCTTTTGGAGGCACCTGCTTTTGGGGACTCACCCCTTCAGAAGGCAGCTCTTTGGGGAGTGGCTCTTTCGGAGCTGTCTCATCTTTGGCTGGCAGACCCTTCACGGCAGCCTCATCTTCAGGCCTGGGGTGCCCATGTCTCATCTTACAGCAGGACCTCTCTGAGGAGTTAGATGCTTGAAAGTGCTGTCCTGGCACCTGGATGTCCTTTGGAGGTGCAAGAGACTCAGACCCCTGTGTGGTTTCTTCTGGAGGCAAACGCTGGCCCTGAGTGTTGTCTCTAGAAGGGTCCTCTTCAAAAACCATGTGCTCTGGGGTCAAGATCTTTACTAGTGCGGGAGCAGTGTTCACAGGAAGGGCCGCCTTTGGGTCAAAGATTTCATCCTTAGTTGGGGCTTTTAGGGCAGGGGCTTCATCCACAGAAAGGGCACTCCCGGTAGTGACAGCCTTGTCCACAGTGATATTCTCTGCAGTGGGGATTTTGTCGGAATCCAGGGCTTTCTCTGAAATGCGGTTCTCTGGAGTGGAGACTTTGTTGGGAGCTGGGTTCTCTGGGCCAAGGGTCTTATCTGGAAGCCGAGTTTTATCTGGAGTGGGGGTTTTATTTGTGGAGGGGGCCTTTGCCGGGCTTCTCTGGTCATCCTCCTGTGGTGACGGTAGGGATGGGTCTCAGGTGGAAGCTGGATACCTTAAAGTAGCTTCCTTGTTTCCCTTGGGATCTTTTGCCCTTGTAAAACACCTGCGGGAACCACCTCCTTGCAGTAGTGCCCTCCCACGTCTCTGACCTCTCACCTGACTCGACACGGAATGCTGTCGAGAAGCCTGGGTTCCGGATCGCTTTCTCCCAGGTTGCCGTGCCCCCCCATTGAGGATGCTGCCATTGAAGCCTATGAAAGTAGAACTTCAGAGACCCAAGCTCATCTCTATCCAGCAACACCCTGCCTCCCCCCCCCCCCAATCCCTGTCTTCCACTGTAGGAAGTGAACCCTCACCGGAGTCTCGGGAAGGGCGCTTCTGGCTGTCCCCACTGGGTGTGGAAGATGTCCTGGAACACATCTCCATCAGCAACATGAGACAGGCGTGGAAGGGGTTTCTCCTCTGCATCCCCCTCCTCCCCAATGCCCTCCTCCTCCTTACTTGACTTTGCTAGGTGCCGAGGCAGCTGCTGTCAGCCTCTTGACAGATGGTAGGGATGTTCTGGGCACCAGCTTTTTTGACTCCTTAACAGGCGCTGGGAGGAGAGAAAGGAGTAATGTCCGTCTGCTTAAGTCACTGGCTGTGTGTCCCTGGGCACAGAAGTGTGATGGGAGATGAATTCCATCTGATTTTGAGAGCTCACCCTGGGCTTAGGGAAGCATGGAACATAAGGGAAGGTTTTGTGGGGGCGCTAGCTCTCTATCCTGCCTGCCAGGTTTTGATCCCCTCTTTGAAGATCTGCCTGTTCCCTGCTTGGTGCCCATAATGAGTTTTCCGGTTCAGTCTTCATTCTTTGTTGGCCCAACAACCACCACCACCACACACACACACACATACCTTTTTCCCAAGACAGGGTCTTACTTTGTAGCTCTGACTGTCCTGGAACGTACTATGCTATCTCACACCTTTTACGTGATCCTACCCAGTCTTAGGAGTTTAATCATCATCAATAATCCAATGACGCCCAAATCTCCATCTCTGTGACCCTTGAACTCTTGTCATTCCAGCTGCCCTCTCACCAAGGTCATGAGCTCAAAGAATAACTAGATTACACAGAGACCGACTGAGTCTCAGAAAAATCAGATCATTTTGGAGAGCCGCCAGCACCGACTACATAGCATCTAGATGCAAGTTCCTGCTTCCCACACTCTAGCCCCTGAGCCTTCCTCATTTCTGCTGTTCTCATGCCTCCCACGTGCTCATCGGCAGGGATGAGGCAATAAGAATGCCTTTGATTCTGTAGACCAGGCTGGCTTTGAACTCACAGAGATCCGCCTGCCTCTGTGTCCTGAGGGTTGGGATTAAAGGTGTGCGCCACCACTACCTGGCCTCATCTTTTAAAAATCCTTACATTGCAGTTCTAAAAAAAATTCAGCAAGAGGGATGAAGAGATGACTCAGGAGGTAAGAGCACCGATTACAGAGGGCCTGGATTCAATTCTCTACACCCACACAGCCGCTAACCAGGTGCTCTTAACCCCGGAGCCCCACTTATTGCTCTTGCAGAGGACCCAAGTTTAGTTCCCAGTACTCACGTGCAGGGAGATTTGTCTCATAACAACCTATAGCTCCAGCTCCAGAGTGACCCACAACCTCTGGTCTCTGTGGGCACCAGTACACAGACACAAGATACACCAGAAAGCATATATGGGAGGAGGTGTTTTTAGCTTTTTTTCCCCTCCCAGAGAGGATCTCTACATAGTGCTAGAACTCACTATGTAGACCAGGCTGGCCTTAAACCCAGAGATCCACCTGCCTCTATGTCCTGAATGCTGGGATTATAGGTGTGCACCACACCCACTAAGAATGGATATGCATGCTTTCAAACAAGGTCTCACTATTGTCACCCAGGCTGAGCTGAAGTGTAGCCACAACAGCAGCAATAGTATATAATTTTTAATTTTTTGCTGTTGTTTTATTTCTATCTTTTGAGACAAGGTTCCTCTGTGTAGTTCTGGCTATCCTGGAACTCAAAAAAAGCGTTTTTTGAGGCAGGGTTTCTCAATGTAACAGGCCCTTCCTGTCCTGAAACTCTATGTAGACCATGCTGGCCTTGAACTCACAGATACCCACCTGCCTCTGCCTCTTGAGTGCAAGGATTAAATGTGTGTGCCACCACCTCCCAGCACAATTTTTGATTTCTGTTTTTTTTTTCCCCCCCGAGACAGGGTTTCTCTGTAGCTTTAGAGCTCTTGTAGACCACGCTGGTCTTGAACTCACAGAGATCCGCCTGCCTCTGCCTCCTGGGTGCTGGGACTAAAGGCGTGTGCCACTGCCCAGTCCAATTTTTGATTTCTAAGTAACCTTAATACCTATTTGTGTACTTATATGCATACATGTGCATTAGCCCAGGCGTGTGTGGCCAAGGACGACTTAGAGAAGTCATTTCTCTCCTACCACGTGAGTATCCGGGATCAAACGCAAAGTCACTAGGCTTCGTGCCTCTACCTGCGGTGCCACCTCACTAGCCTACAGGACACAGACTTAACTTCGGGGATCTGGATGCCACGGTACATGCCAGTAATCCCAGCCGTCTCCAGGAGGTAGAGGGAGTGAGAATGCTGGGAGTTCAAGGCCAGCCTGGGCTATGCTGTGACACCTTGTCTAAAAATAAATATTAAAAAAACCTCAACAGCCAGGCGTGGTAGCGCAGACCTTTAATCCCAGCAGAGGAGGCAGAGGCAGGTGGATCTCTGAATTTGAGGCCAGCCTGGTCTACATAGTGAGTTCCAGGACAGCAAGGGGCTGTTATAAAGAGAAACCCGATTCAAACAAAACAAAACTATCAATCACAATGGTCAGAGCAAGTCACAGGAAGGTGACAATGACAGCAATGACAGTGGAGGGAGCCCCAAAGGCAGTCACACACAATGGCATCCACATCAGCAGACAAAGCCACTTCAGTACACAGCACGCACTGACTTAAGTCCATGATAGCATGTTAGAATAAGCACAGATTTTAATTAC